GAACAAATATGATTGATGGTCTTTTTAAGATGGTCCTCTTCAACTTTCTTGTGAGAGCTTCTTTTTATCCACTTGCTAATCAAACTAAATTTTTATTTTTCTATTTTTTGCTAAAAGATTAGGTGCATTTTTAGGTAGTAATTATTAGTCTATCATTATGTTATACTTACCTAACAAATAATTAACTAGTATTTTGATCTACATTGACTTCTGCTAACCTAAATAATTCCTAGTAACAATAGTAGTAAGTACTTTAACAATTTAATTACCATCAAAATTCATGATATGTATAGCTGGTTTTAATCTAATAGACCTTAACAATTTTTTTTTTTTGAGGCTATATCATCATCAAAGTTTGTACTATGTGAATTTGTTCTTATAAAATTTATTTTTACATTTTTTCCTTCTAATGTTGAACACGCTCATGCAAATATCATATTTATCATTTTTCAGGCTCAAATCCTGTAAATCGTTATGTTTGACTTGTTCTTATTAGTTCACCCTTTATTTTTCAGACTCCAATCCTCTAAATCGTTATTTTTAACTTATTCTTATCAATTTACCCTTTATCACGAGCGTCACTGAAAAATCAAATAAAAAAAAGAGAGGCATATTATAAAGTAACATAGTAGTAATTCAGGATATATATAATGAATTAGATCTCATGTTTCAATAAATTTAAAAAGTTATCATATGAGTTATATGTACCTCCACCGACATATCCATTTGGTTTTTTGATAAAAAATTATCTCGTATTCTAATTCTTTTATATAAAATCTGCGTATATTCTATTCTTCTTGTAACTCTATTTTATAAAATTTACAAAATATATCTTTATTATTACAAGGACAAATGATGTTTTTGAATCATCATATCATAAAAATGAAAAGATTGCCTTGTCATTATATATAAATATATATAAAAAGAACAGAAAATCAAAGAGATATTAGTTTCATAATTTACAAATCATAATATATACCTCTGGATTATTAAATTAAATGTTCATTTTGTTGCTTTATGTCATGTGATGAGAACTATTTCACATGACAAATCTTTGTTGAAGTTATAAAAGCAATTGCAATTTGTATATAATAATTAAGCTTTGATGATCTTTTTTTGGTCTTGGACCTTTTGAAGATCTAATCACATGTCAATTAAATAAATTGAAAAGTGTTTATATAACAATCACAAGAGAGAATTAGAACAATAATTAGGTTGTTAAAAATAGAATTTTAAAGTAACAATTAGGGTTACGATTTTATTTTTGAGTCAATCTTGTCATATTTTAAATGATGACCTCAAAATAATTATGTTTATTATTAGAATTAAAAATTGAAAATTTTCACGCTGGACAAATTAAAAGGCTAATTACTAATTAGTCAATAGATGTTTCACTTTTGGTCACGAGGGGGATGATTATTATTTATTTTTTAAATATATAATAATGATGTTTTTATCTTTTTTTCTCTTTTTTTTTTTAATCACATGATCACATGTCATTAAAAGCTTTCATTTTCATTTACTTGTAGAGGAGGTTACCCTAAAGTGAAAAAAGAAGAAAAAAAGATCAAAGAATAAGATAATTATATTACACAAAAGTTTAAAAAAAAATCATCAAAAGAAAAAGAGATAAATTTAAGAAGAAAAAGATAATAAAAGACTTTTTTTTTTTAATCTCTTTAGAAAAAACAGGAATAGAAGGTGCAGAATTAATCATTATAAGATGTGCATCCAAAGGAGACACCACAAAGGTGCTCATGTGATGGTTCCCTACCTTCAAACCCCACCCCCACCATCCTTCGTTCAATCGCGACGAATTTAGAATTTTCACTAAAAAATATTTTTAAAATTTATTATTTATAGTATATAAATAAAAAGTAATTATATATATAATATAAATATTTAACGAAAAAAAAGTGTGAATAAATACTTTACGCCATTAGCTCTACTGATATCTCCACCCCCTCCCACCCTCTATTCCACGGCGACGAAGTTAAAATTTTTTAATATAAAAATAATTATACTTAATTTTACATATATTATAATATGAATTTTTTAATTAAAAAAACTGTGAAATGAACCTTTTACGCCCTTAGCTCCACCAATATCTCCACCACCACTCACCCACCTCTATTCCATAATGACGAACTCAAAATTTTTAGTAAAAATATTCAACATTTGTTATGCATAAATAAAAAATAATTACACTCATATTTTATACATATAATTTAATTTTTAAATAAAAAAAATATAAATAAATTACGCCTTTAGCTCTATCGATATCCTCACCCCGCCCCACCCAAAGACAAAAGAGACACACAGTATCACATACTATATGAGGTGGAGTGGGGGAGGGGGGGGGTTCTAGTGATTTTCAAGAAGACAGCATGAGATTCACAAACACATGACATGCTTTTGCCTCAAAATTTGTTGTCCCCATGAATGATGAAAATATGGTTCCTCTCTCCTATAATGTCTTGTGTTCTTTAACACAAGCTGAAAAAGTATAAATATGTAAAGATAGATGCAAACATACAATACATAACAAATAAATAATAATTGACTTCCCACCGGTATTCATGTTGACGAATAAATTTAATATCGTGTATTGAAGGGTTTATATCTAAATCATCAGTTCTAGTTAAATTTATTTCATTATTAAGAGATTAAATCTGAGATTTCTGATTAAGAATAGGGATCCCAACTATCCATCACGATGCATATTGATACACCAAAAAAGTTTTAATGCATATATATATATATATATATATGCCGATTGCTCGATTAAATTTTGATATGTGCTGAGAAGTTTCGTATCAGAGGTATAGCAGTCCCTATCCGTATCCAGAGTGACTGTTAAACACGAGACCTCTGATTAAAAATGAAGGAATACTTATGATTCCATTACAACTTTGATCGGTGCTAATGATCTAAGGCATTATGATATGTGATATGTGACATTTGAAAAATGATTTAATCCCTAATATGGGCTGCCTTACTTGTCTTGTTTAGGCCCAAGTATTAGCCATTTGATTGAAGGGCTCAATTTTGCCAAACTACTAATATTAAGAATTGAACCCAATTCAAACTGAAACTTTACATTTTAGCCTAATCTGGAATTTGAACTTGTAATCTTAAACAAGTAATATTTGGAGTCAAATGAGTTTCAAAATGAGTGTGATATACACATAACTTCGAGTTGAAAGTAATAAATTCAGTTAATCTATTTCTATCTCTAATTTAGAGAATCTCGATTGTTAGGCTAGCGTCATATAGACATTCGGTGCAGAAAATAAAAGTTGTTTGAAAAAAATGAGAAGAGAAAATAACGAAAGTGAAGAAGTCATGACAAAATACTAAAGAAAGTAATGATTATACACTAATTACTTCTATACATTAAATTTGACATAGCTACTACCCTCAATTCTGTCTCTAAAAACTCACTAAGTAATAATTATACACTAATTAAATAAAGATTAAGCAGAAAAGTATGTGAAAACTACATTATTATCCCCAAAAGAAACAGAATTTGTTTTGCAAATATAGCCACTTTTAGAGGATTGTGATGATTTCCCTCCACCTATTTTTCTTTCTTTTTTATCGGAACGAAACCCCTTGTTACTTTTTTCAGTAGTAGAAGCAGAAGCAGTTTTTTTCTCGAGTCTTCGTTGAATAACATATTCTTCGGGAATATACACATCCATTTTTTATTTTTTTTTGAAATTGAGAAGCAAAAATGTTCACTCAAAAAACGAAATGTAATTATATTCTTGAGATTATAGAATAAAGTATAGAAGGTACAATTTATACAAAGTGAAAATTAAATATTCCATGGGCTTGGGAAACCAATGTTTTGTAATAAACCAGCAGCAACAATTTTTTGAATTTTGTTGGTATCAAATATTCCTAGGTGCGCAGTGTACTTTGTTGGTTCTCGAGATTTTTCTTTGTAAGAGAACATGCTCAAACAAAGTGTGATTTCATCATTTTCTTAAAAAAAATAAAAAATAAAATTGTCGGTGTATTTTTCATTTTTTTCGTCTATTAGACTTAAAGGGTGTGTTTCGTACGAAGAAATATAGACCTTATTCTTGCTTGGTTTGAAATGGGATGAATTTATAATCTGATGATTATGCCGATCATTTTTATTTTTGGCAAAACTAGACATGTTTTTTGGAAAAATAAATTAGTGTCATACTAAATTATTTATTTTCTAATGTTTGATAGATAAACAAAAGAATATTATCACAAAAGCGTTCATATGTAATCTAGTAAAATGCTAGAGGGTGGGTTGGGGGTTCGGGGGTGGTGAAGGTGGGACATCGAAGGAGTTGAGAGCTTTGGGCGGGTGAGAAAAAAACGACAATAAACTTAAAATAATGTCCTTTCACTTATAAAAGTTATTTTTCTTATACCGCTAATTATTTAGATACACTCTTGCAACATTATAATCTTTTCAGATTTTGATGTAACATATCTAGGGATACATGTAGTTAAAATTAGGTGTACTTTATTTTGGATATATTATATCTAATTAGTAGATTTGCAAATATTTGAAATACATAACAAATCTGACTAGTTGATCAATTTGATCGATTATTATAATGATTTACTCCTCGTTTTTACAAATTGAAATTTGTGCGGTATACGAAATTTATGTATGATACCTAAAATACACGTATGATTCACGCTGAAACTATTTTTTATTAAATATGCATAAAATCTATATTATGAATTTATTATTTGATATTATTTTGTTATATTCCCCCCTGTGTTGTTTAATTAGTTCATACAGTTTTACAAGTGGTATGTTTATCACTGGTCATTAAATAATTAGTGAAGTTTATATAGGGTTATTTGCACCATCGTTCTTATTTTGTGTTCGTCTTTAATATATTCCCGTCATAATAAATATTATTTTTATTAGATATGAATCTATATTTTCGTATCATAATAATGTCACACAAATTGAATAATTTGGGCGGGAATTAATTTGATATTCGAATTCCTCTTATGACCATTGTTACTTTTACTTAGAACGACTAAAATATCATTTAAGATGCAATGTATTTAATAATAAAATAAAGATACTGTGAGCTAGATCCACCAAAAGAGTTATAAATTAATCAAGAGTTTCCTCCACGTTGTGAAATATGATCCTCGTATGACACATCAAGAGGTATTTCACTGTCTACTTGTATAAAGCCAGGACATAATGTATTAAAACAATGAACTTCACCGGCCTAAAAATTAGTATACATAAAATATAAGGACTCTTGTAACTCAAGGAAAATAATTGAACCATAAGACATATAGTTCTAGTAATCATGAACCATAGCGGAAATCCTTACCTGAAAATGTATAAAAAGTCGTGTTTTGATATCCCCGTATAATATTGGATCCACCTAAAATATGAAAAATAGAACTTGTAGAAAATGAATCTAGCCTTTAAAAGTTCTTCTAACAATCAACATTAATTTTTTTTTCATTCTGTATGTTTGATATCTACATTAGACTTCGATTAATTTTGAATTCACATGTGTTCAGCCTAGAACAAATTGATATCCTCACACTCCTAAAAAAACATTGAGATTTAGCATGTAAAATAAGAGAAAATTTCAGAAATATCAAAGATAATAGTCATAATAAGGCTCTATATATAGCTATAGTTTCATAAATCTTATACAAAAAAACTAAGGTAAAAATATATAAATTCTGAATCTATACACTCAGAAATCGAATTACAAAAATTTTAGACTTATACAATACAAATTCTTTATACAATTAAAAAATCGAATAGCAAAATGTAATCTTCTAAAGTACAATGGTCAACAAATTAATATACAAAAGTCTTTTATTTAATAAATATTAATTGCTAATATTTCAAAATAATAACCTGAACATATAGATTACATCAAAATGTAACCGAATTCAAAAAAAATAAATAAAAAAAATCAATTGACGCTGATTGTGATTTGTGAATGTGCGATTCAAAATACTAGAATTTACCCATGGTATTGTTTTACTCACACTACTAAGAAAATCGAAATTATTAAACATATAAAAAGAAATACAAGATAAGGTTCAATAGAAGAACTATTCAACTATATATTTATCAAGAAAGCTCGATATTAAAATAAAATATTTTTATAGAAAGTAACTAACAAGAATTACACTTGTGCTTTATTACCAGGTCCACCATAAAGAACATAAAGAAAATTATTTGAACCTTCCAATAGATATTTAAATATAACTTTATATGCAAAAATATTATCAGTATACCAAAATATATTATGTATATCAACCGAATCTCCTTCTTCATTTGAATATGCGATGCTCCTACAGTACCCATCAAAAGAAGAATTTCCTATCGGAAAATAGCTTGAACCCATCGGAGGTTCTGGTACACCTGGTGGACTATATACCGATCCTCCCCATTCAATTTTCGTAGCAAATTGTGCTAACTCAGTGAAAATAATATTTGGCCAATAACCAACTAAATCATACTTTTGTCCCAATAGAAGCCACCAGTGTCCATAGGCTTGATCCCTATAAATGTACATTAGGATCTCCCATGTATGCACTCCACGTTGGGTAAGATTCCCATACGAACTATCAAGAGGTATATCGCGGTTTACTTGAACAAAGCCAGGGCATAATGTATTGAAACATTGGGTTTCACCTATCTAGAAAACTTAAAAAGACATTTTTAGTGACGTAATCAAAATTTATACTAAAAAGGGAATTCAGAATACAAAGAACTAAACACATGCACGAACAAGTCAAAAAAATTCAACACTTATTTAATATACGTAAAAATATTTTTTTTGTCTCAATTGTCTATACTTAGCTCTGTCCCTGTTTATACGATACTTGAACTTTTGTACGAGAAGAAAAAATTATATATAGCTAAACCAATAGACAAAGTAGCTTCATGAACGTGATATTGAAATAATCATAGTACTAAGTAAACAAGTTACCTGATAATGTATGAAAAGTCTAGTTTTATTATCCCCATATAATGTTGGATCTACCTGAAATAAAAAAACAACAATATTATTATAAGCGGATGGTAAATTTATATTAAGACGTGTAATTGACATCTTAGAGACATTTTTCTAAGAAGCAATTAAATTATGTATAGAAAAGATTAGTTATATTTACCCTCCAACCAGCTTGTAAGATTTCCGATCCTTTTTCGATTCTTATTCGACTAGCACTAATTTGTTTGCCTTCAACATGAGGATTGAACAAACTAGTTGTCATTCCAGCTCCTGTATACTTTGTAGTTGATTCTTTTGGAGTTCGAACTATTGCACGCTAAATATAAAAAGAAGTTTTTAATTAAGTTTAACAAATTATATATCAAAAAAGTATGGCTAGCCCTAAAAGGCAAATGCATAGACATTGAAAGCACAATTTGATATATTTAAAGGGAAAAAAAAACTCCAAATTGTAAATTAAAATTGTTGCATTTGATATTTCAAATCAAAGGATAAGAAAATTGGAAATATAACAATATTTGTATTGGTATATACCTTATATCCTCCATAAGAAGGCATGTAGCTTGCTTTTTGCTCACTATTGTAATTGCTCTGCAATATATGAGTTTAGCCACAAAAATTAAAACTAATTAAACTTTTTTATGAAATCTTAAATTGTTCATAAATTATTGTATGCCTACATATTCATTGTCGAAGATGGCAGGTTCTGGTGATGGCAGATCTCTTTGTCTTATAAGATCTTCCTTTGTGATTCTCTTAACGGGAACAGTTCCAGAAGGACAACCTCCATCTTTTGACCATATTGTCGGTAACCTATTAGTTGTGGAGTCATATGAATTTTGCTTTATCTCAGCAAAGGTAGGTTCCATCTGATCATTCAAATTTTTAATTGTATGTCAATAATGTCTTATATATGTACAAAAACAATTAAAGTAAAAAGAGAGTAAAAATATACCTGAGGATGAAAATTATGGTCCTTCAATAATGGGTGATCAAATGCATGTTGTTTGTAAAAATTAATACAGTCGTATGTATCTCCATATTTAGTCTGTGAAAAAAAAAATCGTAAATAAGATACCTAAATTATAGTAGTTACACATCTTGCTATTCAAATTTCAATATATACTTTTTAAATACAAAACAATATAACAAAACAAATTTTCGTAGGTCATAACATTACAATTATTTTTAAAAATAAAATTGTTGGAATAAAGAAAAAATCCATGTGAAAGAGGAATATTATCAAATAAAAATAATAAATATCTCGTGAGACTTATAAATCTTATATATGAACAAAATTCAAATACCTTAACTATTTTGATTGCTGGTTTATTCAAAATTTTCAGTTGTTTTTCTAGCTCCATATCTTCCAATTTAGATAACTCTTCTACGCCTTGGACTACATTATAAATTAAAAAGAAACATAACACTAATAAAATTTGTCGAACAATTCTTGGATTCATCTTTTTGCAAGTATGAGGACTTTGCTACAATGAGGAAGGTGTTATATAAGGCTGGGTATGGAAAATATTTAAAGTAATTTACCATATAAAATATTGAATGATATTGATGTAATTTTCTGTAGCATGGTCAACAAAATGTTCAAAAAGTCATCTTTCATTTAATATAAAAACTAAATGTTGATTGCTCTTTTTAAAGTAGAATTAAATCTAAAATCGAATTCTGGTATATTAAGCCCAAGAAGTAAGAACACAAATGGTCCTTCATTACCTTAGGTGGGCTTGAGATTGTTGATTGCTTTATCCATTTTAGTTTGCAATATTATGAAATTTATCAAATTTTAGTGTATTAAAACACAATATAAATACTTAATCGGATTACATAACGTTAAAATTATGTATAATTTGTTATATATACATTATATCGAGTGAATTTGCATGTATTGAAATACAAAGAAAAATTTTATTTTTCTCTTAATCAGAACAATTCTAAAGGCACTTAAATTTTGATTTATCCTCAATAAATTAAGTTTCATTTATTCAACTAAATATTAAATCGTAAGTCAATAATATCATATCCTTGTTATAAAAAAATAAAAAGTAAAAGAGAGTTAAATATGTCTTAGGATGAAAATTATGATTCTTTACCACTGAAAAACCATGTGAAAGAGGAAGATTTAATTATTATTTTTTCCCTACAAAAGAGTTATTATAAAATAAAATTAGTAATATCGCAAGAGACTTACATATATAATAACTAAATCGAGAATAAGTACCTTATTTATTTTTCTTAATTGCTTGTTCAAAAATTTTAATAGTTTCTCTAATTCCATTTGTTCTAATTTGGATAGTCTTTTATAACTCAAAAACAAATATAGCACCAATCTCAATACTTTTAAGATTCAAAATTTGCACCAATTATTCCAATAGATAAATAGTAACATTATCACTTGATAAATGAATATATAACCAAATATTCATAAAACAAGAGAACTCATAAATATCTTTAATTATAGGAAATAATTATCAAAAATTATATTTGTGCTTTGTTACCAGGTCCACCGTAAAAAACATAAGTAAAAGAGTCTGAACCTTCCAAAATATTTTTAAATACAACCTTGTAGGCAAAAATATTATCAGTGTGCCAAATTATATTATCTATTCCAATCGAATCTCCTTTATCATCTGAAACCGTAATGCTTCTACAAAATCCGTCAAAACTAGAATTTCCAACGGGAAAATAGCTTGAGCCCATCGGAGGTTCAGGTACACCTGGTGGATTATACGTAACTCCTCCCCACTCTATATTTGTAGCAAAATTTGTCAACTCTTTGAACATAATATTGGGCCAAAAACCAATTTGTTTATAGTCTTCTCCTAATAGAAGCCACCAGTTTCCATCGTCTGGATCCTTAAGAAATTGTATCTCAATTTTTAATCCATATATAATTATATTTATGTATAGTCATGATTTTTTTTTAAAAAAAAATTATGCAATAAATAAAATTATAAAGTAATACCTTATAAATGTACAATAATAAGTCCGATTTCGGCCCTCCACGTTGCGAAAGAATTCCCTCCAATGTGACATCAAGAGGTAGTTTGTTGTTTACGTGTACGAAGCCTGGACATAATGTATTGAAACAACTGAATTTACCTGCCTAGAAAATATAAAAGACATATTTTTAGTGGCGGAATCAAGATTTGTACGGTGAGGAGTTGTTTGGTGTGAGCTATAAGGTATAATAATTTTCAGAATTATTTTACGGTGTGTTTGGTTTGAGGTATTTGGTAGTGATCCTTGGATTATTTATATCATATTGATAGGATAAATTATCTCATATACATATTGAAATAGCTTATATTAGGGTAATTAATCTCATGATAATTTGTTCCCGACCAAAAGATCCCTAAGGGTTCAAAATACGAATGAAGAAATAAATACACAAAGAAGTCAAAGAAAACTTTACCTCTATTTTATCTGAAATTATTGTAACTTTCTAAAAAAAAAAAGCGATAATGTACAAAGACAAGTTACGTGATAATGTACAAAAAGTCTTGTTATATTATCCCCGTATAGTGTTGGATCTACCTGAAATACGAAACAATGATATTATAGTAAGTGAGTGTGGATTTATATTGAACTCCATAATTTGACACCTCGGAGACATTCTGTCTATGAAACAATTAAATTATGTTTACGAAAAATTAATTAAACTTACTCTCCAACCAACTTGTAAAATATCTGTTCCTTTTTGAATTCTTAATCGACAAGTTTGCCTTCAACATGAGGATTGTACACATTAGTTGCCATTCCAGCTCCTGTAAACTTTGTATTTGGATCTTTTGGGGCTTGAGCTATTGCACGCTGGATATAAAAATAAATATTTTACATATATCCAAAGTATGGCTAGCCCTAAACCTTGATAGCATAAATTTGATGTTTTGAAAGGATAACAAACCTCCAAATTTGTAAAATAAACTTATTGATTTTGTCATTTCAAATTCAACTAAAATAAAAGGATTAGAAAAAACATCCACAAAACGAAAAAATGGAAATGTGACAAAAATTTCCATAGTTATGTACCTTATATCCATAAGAAGGCATATTGTAGCTTGCTTTAATTTGCTCACTATTGTTATCACTCTGCATTAGATGTATAGCAATATATGAGTTTTTTACAATAATTAAATCTTAAATTTTTTAAAACATAAATTGTTCATAAATTATCTTACGCTTACAAATTCGTGGTCGAAGTAAGCAGGTTCCGGTGGTGGCATATCTCTTTGTCTTATAAGATCATCCTTTGTAGTTCTCTTAATGGGAACAGTTCCAGAAGGACAACTTCCATCATTTGACCATATTGTCGATAACCTACTAGTTGTTGAGGCATATGAATTTTGTTTTATTTTAGATAAAGTAGGTTTCATCTGCTCATCCAAATATATAATGGTATGTCAACAATATATATCATATATGTATACGAAAAATCAAGGTAAAAAAGAGGGCAGAGGTGTGCCTTAGGATGAAAATTATGGTCCATCAGTAATGGATGATCAAAAGCATGTTGTTTATAGAAATCGACACAGTCGTATGTATCTCCAAATTTAGTCTATGTACCAAAAAAAAAATCACAAATAAGATACCTAAATTATTCTCGGGTACCCTATGTCAATAAAAGTAAAAGAAAGAAAATAAGGGCGAAAGAAAGATACCAAAGCAATGTTGTATTCAGGCTGCCTGTCTTTTTGTAGTTGGATCTCCAAGTTTTTGGAATGCTCCAAATTCGACTTGAGCATCTAAATCTGGGTCAATACCAGCAAAAACATCTCTAGTAGTTATAGATATAAAAGAAAGGTTCATTTACCCAAAAAAAATCCATGACCCAACCCTCAACCCAAATAAAGGTTATATATATCAAATAAAAATAATAAATATATCGTGAAACTTAAAATTTGTGAATAGAAAATAATTACCTTAACTGTTTTGATCGTTGACTTGTTTAAAAATTTCAGTTGTTTTTCTAACTCCATGTCTTCCAACATTGTTAACTTTTTTTCCCCTTGTACTTCATTATAACTCAAAAGTAAACATAATACTAATAAAATTCGTCGAACAATTCTTTGATGCATACTGAGTTTATAATAATCTTTTTGCAAGTATGGAGACTTTGGAGAAAAGTGTTATTTATATAAAGGCAGGTAGAAAAAAGATATAAAGTAAATTACTATATGAAATATTGAATTTATATAATTTTAAGGCCAGATATAGAAAAGATTTGAAGTAAATTACTATATAAAATATTGGATTAATATTATTTTAAGGCCATGTATAGAAAAAATATAAAATATAAAGTAAATTGCCATATAAAATATTGAATTAATTATGTCATTTTAAGGTCATAAATAGAAAAGATTTAAAGTAAATTACTATATGAAATATTGAAGTAATTTAACTTTAAGGCCATATGTAGAAAATATTTAAAGTAAATTAGTATATAAAATATTGAATTAATGCAATTTTAAGGCCATGAATAGAAATTTTTTTAATGTAAATTAATATATAAAATATTAAATTAATGTAAATTCTCAAGCATGATGAACTAAATGTTCAAAAATAGTATTTTGTTGATTGCTCCTTTTTCAAGTAGATATGTTAAATAACAATATGACCATTTATGATGAATTTTATTATATTTTGAAGCATTTAGATACTTATATGTATACTAAATTAGATTTAATTGACTTTTTAGGTACATTATATCTTATGAATTTATATATATTTGGAATGAATAATGAATCTCGCTTTGATATTCCTGATATATGTAAATCACACAAGATACATATAATAAATGTATTTAATATATATCTAGTATGATTTGCATATATTCAAAATAGATGACCATATTGATTATCAACCGCTTAACTTTGGTTTAAATCAACAAAAATAAAAATGATTTTTTCGCCTCTTCCCTTTGTTACTTTTTTTTGGTTAAAATATATCACTCGATTAATGAAAAATATCATTAAAAATTTTTCATGAAAAAAGATGACTCATAGAAAAATTAATCCATCCTTTAAAAGTTGTTATGCCTGTTTCCATCTCTTGAACAAATTTTTTCATCAAATTGAATATCCTCACACTATTCACAAAAAGTGGAATTATTAAGCATTTGAAAAAAAAAATGCAAGTTAAATTCAGTACGAGAACTATTCAAATATACACATTTATCGAGAAAGCGCGATATTTTTAGACGTTGAACATAAATATTTTTATATAGGATTTGAGTACTTAAAAAATATTATATTCATGGATTACTAATACCAGGTCCACCATAAAAAACATAAGTAAAAGTATTTGACCCTTCCAATATTGTATCGAATTGAATCTTGTAAGCAAATTTATTTTCAGTAAGCCAGACTATACTATATATTCCAACTGAATCTCCATCCTCATTTGAAACCGCGATATTCCTACAATAAGCATCAAAACTACTATTTCCGGTAGGATAAAAGCTCGAGCCCATTGGAGGTTCTGGTAGACCTGGTGGATTATATATAACTCCTCCCCAATCAACATTCGTAGCAAAACCTTTCAATTCATTTAAGATATCATGTGGCCAAAACCCAACTTGTGTATAGTCTGCTCCATATAAAAGCCACCAGTTTCCAACGCCCATATCCTAAATTTAAAGAAATTGTCAATGTCAATAATTTTGCATTTCTCGATTTATATATAGTCAAAATAAAAAAAATTACGATAAGAAAAGTATAGAAGTACCCTATAAATGTATAAATCAACCTCCCTTGTGCTCCCTCCACGTTGTGAAAGATTGTCCCCAAATGTCATATCAAGAGGTATGTCGGTACGTACAGACACAAAGCCGGGACATAATGTATTGAAACAATGAGTTTCACCTGTCTAAAAAATATAAAAGACATACTTTTTAGGTGACGAAATCGTAGGGTTCAGAGCACACGAAGAAGTAAAAAGAAACCCAATAGTTATTATATATATACAAAAAAAAATTAAATTGTATATAATTGATGTAATTTTTTGTAGAAGGGAATTTTGATTGACTATACATGTGTCTCATACTTAAAATCTTGTACATGAAGGAAAATATATAGCCAAACAAAAGACATAATAATTTTATTAACGCGATATTAAAATCATCAAAGTAGTAAGACAAGTAGTTACCTGGTAATGTACGTAAAGTCTAGTATTATTATCTCCGTATAGTGTTGGATCCACCTGAAATATGAAATAATGGTATTGTAATAAGCGAGTATTAATTTATATTAAATCGTATAATTGACATCTTAGAGACATTTTCCTATGGAACAATTAAATTATGTATGAAAACTTACTCTCCAACCAACTTGTAAGATATCCGATCCATTTCGAATTTTTAGTCGACACGCGCTATGTTGTTGACCTTCAACATGAGGATTATACAAACTAGTTGCCATTCCAGCTCCTGAAAACTTTGTTAACTTTGGATCGTATTGTGGTCGAGCTATTGCGCGCTGAATATAAAAGAAAATTATTTTATTAACATTCACATGTTATATATCCAAAGTGTGGCTAGCCCTAAAAGGAAAATGCAGAGACCTTGACAGCACAATTTGATATGTTGAAAGGGAAAAAAAATAGAAATTGTAAATTAAACTTATTTCATTTTATTAATATAAAACCAATTATAATGAATGTCAAAAAACCATTAAAAAAAATGAAAATATGACAATTAGTTTAGTACCTTATATCCATTAAATTGGTAGTAGCTTCCCTTTTGCTCAATATTGTTATTGCTCTGCAATGGATGTATTGCAATGTATGAGTTTTTGCCACAATATTTGAAATTAATTATATACTTGTTTATAAAATCTTCAAGTAAAAGTATTAAATTGTTCATAAAATATCTTACGATTACAAATTCATCGTCAAAGTTGGCAGGTTCTAGTGGTGGCATATTTCTTTGTCTTATAAGATCGTCCTTTGTAATTCTCTTGATGGGAACAGTCCCAGAAGGACAACCTCCATCTTTTGACCATATTGTCGATAACTTATTAGTTGTTGAGCCATATGAATTTTGTTTTATCTCAGCAAAAGTAGGTTTCATCTGTTCATCCAAATATTTGATTGTGTGTCAAGAATATCATATATATGTACAAAAACATTAAAGTTAAAAGAGAGTAGAGATATGCCTGAGGATGAAAATTATGATTCTTCAACAATGGGTGATCAAACGCATGTTGTTTATAGAAATCCACACAATCATATGATTCTCCAAATTTAGTCTGTGAACAAAAAAATCATAATTAAAATACCTAATTTATAGTACATATACATAGAATTCTATAATATAGAGGGTTCAATTTTCAAATACAATAAGTTTTACTAAAGAAAAAGACATAAGGTTCATTTACCCAAACAAATTCCCCCACCCACACCCCCAATCCAATCCAATCCAATCCAACCCAACCCAACCACCAACCCAAAAAAGGGTAATTTATCAAATAAAAATAATAAATGTTTTGTGAGATTTACAAATATTATATATAAACCAAGAAAAAAGTACCTTGACTGTTTTGATTACTGGTTTGTTCAAAAGTTTTAGTTGTTTTTCTAATTCCATGTCTTCCAATTCGGATAACTTTTTTCTTCCTTGTACTCCATTATAACTCAAAAATAAACATAACACCAATAAAATTTGTCGAACAATTTTTTGAAGCATTCTGAGTTCATTCATCTCTTATTGTTATTTTTCTTTTTTGCAAGTATGAGGACTTTGCTACTGTGAGAAGGGTGTATATAAGCACAGGTATAGACAACATTTAATGTACTCACTATATTTTATTTTTATAAGTTTTAAAATATTAAATGTTAATTACTCTTTTTTTAAGTATAATCCTAAATCTTTAATAACAATCTGATTATGTAAATCTGAGTCAAACTATATTAAGCCCAAAAAGTAAGAAGGCAAATGGGCTTTACTTTAAGTGGGCCAGAGATTGTTCTGAAATATCATACTATATACATATATTCAAATATATGTATTTATCAAGAAAACACGATATTTTTTTAGAAATTGAATATAAATATCTTTATATAAGATCGTAGTATTTAAAAAGAATTACATTCAGGGATTACTAATACCAGGCCCACCATAAAAAACATAAGTAATAGTGTTTGACCCTTCCGTAAGTCCTTTGAATTGAATATCGTAGGCAAATTTATTTTCAGTAAGCACGACTACATTATATATTCCAATCGAATCTCCAACTTCATTTGAAACCGTAATACTCCTACAATACGCATCAAGACTAGTATTTCCGATAGGAAAAAAGCTTGAGCCCATTGGAGGTTCTGGTAGACCTGGTGGATTATATATAACTCCTCCCCAGTCAACATTTGTAGCCAAACCTTTCAATTCATTTAATATATTATGTGGCCAAAACCCAACTTGCGTATAGTCTGGTCCAAGTAGAAGCCACCAATTTCCATTGCCTGTATCCTAAAAAAAAATAAAAAAATTGTCGATCTGAGTATTTTGATGTATCTCGATTTTTATATATATTCACGATAAAAGAAACACACAATAAATAATAAGTACCCTGTAAATGTACAAATTAATCTCCTTTGGGCTCCCTCCACGTTGTGAAAGATTGTCCTCAAATGACATATCAAGAGGTATGTCGGTATGTACAGACACAAAGCTGGGACATAATGTATTGAAACAACGAGTTTCACCTGTCTAGAGAATATAAAAGACATATTTTTAGGTGATGGAATCAAGATTTATATTAAAAGGGTTCAGAGCACACAAAGAAGTTAAAAGAAAACCAATAGTTATTGTATATACACAAAAAATAATTTAAGTTGTAAATAATCGATGTAATTTTCTATAGAAGGTATTTCAATTGACCATACGTATGTTTGATACTTAAAATGTTGTGCATGAAAGGAAACTATGTAGCAAAACAAAAGACATTGTAATTTTATAAACGCGATATTAAAATCATCAAAGTACTAAGACAAGTAGTCACCTGGTAATGTAGGTAAAGTCTAGTATTATTATCCCCATATAATGTTGGATCCACCTGAAACACAAATAATGAAATTGTAATAAGCGAGTATGGATTTATATTAAACCCTATAATTGGCATCTTAGAAACATTTTTCTATGAAACAATTAAATCGTGTATGAAAAAGATCGATTCATTAAACTTACTCTCCAACCAACTTGTAAGATATCCGATCCCTTTTGAATTTTTATTCGACAACCGCTATGTTGTTGACCTTCAACATGAGGATTGTACAAACTAGTTGCCATTCCAGCTCCAGAAAACTTTGTAAGATTTGGATCGTACTGTGGTATAGCTATTGCGCGCTGAAGGTAAAAGAATATTTTTTATTAACATTTACATATTATATATATGGCTAGCCCTAAAATGCAAATGAAGAGACCTTGACAGCACAATTTGATATTTTGAAAGGGAAAAAAAAACTACAAATTGTAAATTAAACTTATTTCATTTATTATCTTAAATCCAATTATAATGAATGTCACAAAACAAAAAAAAATGAAAATATGACAATTAGCTTTGTACCTTATATCCATTAAATTGGTAGTAGCTTCCCTTTTGCTCAATATTGTTATTGCTCTGCATTGGATGTATTGCAATGTATGAGTTTTTGCCACAATATTTGAAATTAATTATATACTTTTTTAATAAAATCTTCAAGTAAAAGTATTATAAATTATATTACTCCTACAAATTCGTTGTCAAAGTTGGCAGGTTCTGCTGGTGGCATATTTCTTTGTCTTATAAGATCGTCCTTTGTAATTCTCTTGATGGGAATAGTTCCAGAAGGACAACCTCCATCTTTTGACCATATTGTCGGTAATTTATTAGTTGTCGAGTCATATGAATTTTGTTTTATCTCAGCAAAAGTTGGTTTCATCTGTTCATCCATATATTTGATTGTGTGTCAATAATATCATATATATATATATACAAAAACATTACAGTAAAAAGAGAGTAGAGATCTACCTGAGGGTGAAAATTATGATTCTTCAACAATGGGTGATCAAACGCATGTTGTTTGTAGAAATCCACACAATCGTATGATTCTCCAAATTTAGTCTGTGAACAAAAAAAATACAAATAAGATACCTAATTTATAATTACATATTATCAAATTCTATAAGGCAGAGAGTTCAATTTTCAAATACAATAAATTTTACAAAGGGAAAAAACATAAACCTAAGGTTCATTTACCCAAAAAAAAATTTCCACCCCAACCCAATAAGGGTGATTTATCAAATAAAAATAATAAATATCTCGCGAAATTTATAAATACTATATATAAATAGAATATAAATACCTTGACTGTTTTGATTGCTGGTTTGTTCAAAAGTTTTAGTTGTTTCTCTAACTCCATGTCTTCCAATTTGGATAACTTTTTTCTTCCTTGTACTCCATTATAACTCAAAAATAAACATAACATCAATAATATTTGTCGAATAATTTTTTGATGCATCCTGAGTTTATTATTTTTTTTCAATTATGAGGACTTTGCTACTATGAGAAGGCTGTTATATAAGGACAGGTATAGAAAACAATTACTGTACTTACTATATTTTATTTTTATAAATAGTAAAATATCAAATAATTAATTTCTCCTTTTTAAGTATAATCTTAATTCTTTTATTCTGCTGATGTAAATATGAGTCAAGTATATTAAGCTAATAAGTAAGAAGGCAAATGGGCTTTACTTTTAAGTGGGCTTGAGATTGTTCTGAATTATCATACTATAACACAGGCCCATTTAGTCAAGTATTGGGTCGATTATTTGGGAAGTATCGATAAATACACATTTTAACGGCTAATAAAAAAAAGGAATAGTTTCGAATATATACAATAAAATCATCATTTTACAACAAATATAGTTACGTTCATCTTATAAAATCATCAATTATTTAATGAGAATGGTTCCAGAAGGACAACCTCGATCTTTTAATCATATTATTGAATGTTGATTAGTGATAACCTACAAGAATTTAATCATATTATTGAATGTTGATTAGTGATAACCTACAAGTTGTCAACAAGAAAGTCCGTATTGTACTTTTTTTGAAGTTGAGTTAAGTCCAAAATCTATTTCGAGCTGCGACTCGAGGATTCGAGCCGAGTCCCGGTACATTTTGAAACTCAAAAAATGTGGTCATCTCTTGTCCTTTGGTACCTCATTCACTATGAACACTCGTTCATTTTAACAAGAACCACCTTGTTTACAAAGAATCAACAGTAGCATCTCTTCAACTCTAAATTTATCCTACAGACTCAAAATTTACATGAACTCAACCATCACTCCAGAACACATAGGGAACGAAATCGAGAGGTCAAAAAACGAAAAGGAGAAAGCGCTAGACAATTACATATTTCGGATATATATACTGTGTTAGCCTTCTGTTAGTTAGGATGAAAGTGCAAGCTCGGCCCATGCCAACGAAGACGCCTTGAGCTCTGCAGTGATGGAAGTGTCAATGTTGCTCTCCAGAATAGCACAGAGGTCCTTAATGGATGTCCTTCTACTCGTAGTCGGGTGGATGCAAAGGTTGATCACCTCACATATCACTTTGAGGTCTTCCTGTTTGAAATGTTTCAACTCGGGATCCACAACGTAGGATAATACCTCCGGCATTTCAAGAAATTCCTTAGCCTGCACGTAAGAGGTCGAATTCAGGTCCTGCCAACGCGTTTAGAAACTGGTTCTACCTCGGAAAATTTTCACATGAAAAGAAATGCTTACCCAATCTACTAAGCACCCTTTGTCTTTGCAATATGGAGGTCTCCCACTGATTATTTCCAGTAGTAGTACTCCAAATGCATAAATGTTACCCTGGACATCAAGACGACGGCTCTCGAGAGTATTTGGAAGGACACATATTGCTCCTTCACTACTGATAGCACCAGAATTCTTCTCTGATCTAGAAATTATCGACTTCCAGCTTTCAAAATCAACAAGCTGCACCAAATGAAATAGACTTTGAGAAGACAATTATAAAATGCCAGTGCCTTTTGTAAACTGCTTAAGAGCATAATGGGTTGCATCAGCTTAA